GGAGCGAAAAGCAAAGAGACTTATTAACAACAATTCTCTTGTGGAGTCGAAGCTACAAAATCTCGACCATCGCAGAAAAGTAGCCTGCTTGTCGGTTTTCTATCGGATACATTTCGGGGAGTGTACGCAGGAACTTTTCAATTTAGTTCCAACCTCACCGTTCCTCCTTCGGTCGACTAGAAGGTCCGGAGCACTCCATTCTTATGTCGTTGATATTCCACGTATTCGCACTAAGCGCTTTGCTTCCTCCTTTCTGATGCGTACGGCAAAGGAATGGAATGCTCTACCGGTATGTATTTATATCTATATTCTCTAATGTATTTCCCGAAAAGTACAATTTAGAGCTATTCAAGGCTAGAGTGAATAGGCATTTTTTGGCAAACGCGTACCATCGTCGGTCACATCGTCGCTTAACATCAGGTGTCGGAAAAAGGATGTCGAACGGAGAATGGGAATAGACATCGCGTTAACGGCAAATCAGCTTAATGCGACAAGTATGTTTAAACACGATCGCATCAAGACGAATCCGAGTCAATAAGTTTGGTGACCCCCTAATATACACAACCACGTAATTCTACAGTGGATTAAAGGACACAGCGGTAGTGACGCAGCAGATGAACTAGCCAGAAAAGGGTCGGAGACGGACGCTTTAGGACCAGAACTCATAGTGTCCCCTACCAATGGTCAAGAAGATCTATCTACAAAGAAACAAAATCTTCTCATAATAATACATGGACAGTCCTTACGGTTTGTAGACAGGCAGGGAAGCACTACCAACGCTCAACGCCAGTCTATCTCGAAAATTAATTAAACTTAAAAGGCAAGAGCTTCGCACTCTTACTGCCGCACGGTATCACAGACAGCCCTATATGCAGACCGTGCAAGGAGGGAGAGGAAACGGTTGCGCACATTCTACTACGGTGGCGTGGCCAACTACAGGGCGAAGTGCCTTGGAGTGCCGAGGTAGCTCCCCGAAATCTTCAGCAAACCGAGGAGATTGCTAAGATTCCTGGAGGAGCTTGGGTGGCACGAGTAGGGCCCTGCACCCACCACACGCAAAATAGGCGCCTTGACGTCGAGTTGCGGACACCAAACTGGGATTTGTACTACTTGTCTTATTACTTGCTAATAGGTACATACCACGAAAAGTACAGATTGTTTTTTTTTATTTATTTGTTTTTAGTGGACGCACCACTTCACCAGCTAGTCACTTACAACAGATGGCGATACAACGAAAAGTCGTCAAGAAGTAGAACAATTCGTAAGGTCCGCTGGTTCGTTCCGTGGCTTAGTTAGCATAGCGGTCTCGCACGGTTTTCAAGTCTCCCATCTTTGTATTAATAATATAATAATTATTTGTCTAGTTTTCTAGGTATATTTTTCCACATTTCAAAGTTGACACTTGTCAAAAGTTAAAAATACTGAACGAAAGCGGTGGAGTCAGACTTTTTGTACCTACTATCATTGTTTTCAATGTTGCCAACTTAGCGATTTTGTCGCTAGATTAAAGGACATTTTGTTTTTATTTAGCGACAAGAAAAATTTTGCTACCTTTTTGACGTCTTTTTAATTAGGTGTCGTCTGCTAACATTTAATATGATTTTACCTTATCTCATATATTTTCTACTCAATGGTAAGGTTGTATTGGAAGAGGAGAGGTGCTTCGGCGTCGGGAAGTGAGAGTGCCTACAGCTACATCACCAGGGAGAAGAGTTGGTAGTTGAATTTAGATTCAACGCCTTAGCGGTGGCAACTGCTAGTTGTGCAATGCATAACGGGAAGTGAGCGTGCCAACTGCTCCGATACCTATCTGGAAGATAGGGAGGGTACATTACGTGCACCCGGGGTCACTCACCCAAGGCACTATCCTTTTGAGCACCGGATGAAGTCCGTGACAACTGTCTGACAACCCTGTCCACGGGCTGATCTAGGTTCAGGATCTAAACTTTTAAGGTCCCCCGCGGGCTTGCTTGCACAGGTTATAGTACTATATCGTCCCGTATAATCAAGATGTTAATAGAGAAGGGCACTATAATCACAAGTTAAGTTGAAAGATATGGGCCTGGTCTTTTATCTGCGAACTTTATGATGAGCACCATAAGAGTAGAATTTTCGAATAAAGTGAAAAAATATAGTTTTAGCGACAACTAGCGACGGTTAAGCCTTCTGTCTAGCGACATTAGCGTTACTCTAGTTGGTAACACTGCTTGTTTTTCGCTGTTGCACATTGCACCATCATTTTCAATTTCGTTTCCCTCTAACTTGCTTTTAGCAATACAATTTTATTTTAGAATTCATGCTAAATAAAATTTAAAGATAATTAATGAAGCGTAATTGGATTAAACTAACAATGTCAGTTGTACAATAATACAGGACACAGTAATCAAAGTCAAAGGGCAAAAGTGTTAATTTTAGCTTTGTTAGTTAAATTAATCCCCCTAAAAAAAAGCCCCTAGACATTGACTTACAATTATATGGACGTCGGGTCCGCGCTAAAAAGTGTCCGAACTTATAGGGCGTTAAAATCGTATACAGAGCGTCATTCACGCTTTAGTCTTCGTTTGTTCGACTGACAGCGAAGCCAGCAAAATTAGACAGTACTGCGATGACATTACAATTTCAATTCAACGTTTTAGCTTTTTCATATTGCTTTACATGTCACTACGTTTAAATAGGTTGACTTGAGACATTTTTTTCGTGGTTTTTGTATTAGACCCGTCGTCCATTTATTTGTAAGTCAATGCCCCTAGACTAAAAGTTTTAAGCAGTACCTACACATTTGTAACTAAAATGATACGTTTTATCCTTTTCTTAATTTCATTTGGGTCAGTTTACATTTGCTCAAATCGACGCATTGTTAAATGTCCTGATTAAATAACAAAATTTGCTTAGTTCCTCAGCAAATCTGCCACTAAAGTGCGTAAAAACGATACTACGTGTATTGTCACTGTTACATGCAATTGACCCAAATAAATAGATAACAAGCCAATTGTATTGTAACAACAAAATAATATTTAGTAGCAGTAGAGCTCCTTGCGACGCGTGATGCGAATGAAGCTTCATACTGGATACTTGTCTTTTAATTTTGTCGAATATTACTTATTTGACAATAATTGTTTCGGACGGAGATCGAGAGTTGACCCCCTGACGTCAAGCGGTAGTTACTTACTTAATTACAGAGCTTTAAATCTGAAAGATCTGAGGGGTACTGCTACTGCGCCCATCACCCTGACACATAAGTTGAAAGTTCCTTGTGCCTATAATTTCATCAGCACCCTTACCCTTGAAAACCGAAACAGTAATGGTTGCACTACTGCTTGGTGGCAGAAATTGGTAAAGTGGCAGAAGTTCCATGGATGAACTCTTTGAGAAGGACCTGTACTGCTTCAAAATTCACATTTTTCAAACAGATTTTTACTGATTGCATTTTTAATTTGGCATTGTGTTTGTTTTTGTTTTGTTTTTTTACCAACATGCAATCGGTCTTATAGGAGACCATAAGCTGTTAGTATATTATATTATTATAATATATATAATTATAATTTTTATAATAATATATATAGTCTATCTTAAATAGACAACAAATAATTGTATTGTCAATGATGAACAGTTACCATGCTGGACTGCCACGCAGAGGTCCTAGGCTTGATTCTTGAAATATGTGTATGGCCTACATTTATTTCTCTCGTGAGTTTGGATGTAATTTGTGGTTGTCTGTGCATGTGTCCTTGGCACCTGCGACTTAGGGTTTCCCTAGTGCAGGGCTATGAGTGTGTTGCGTTATTATTATTACTATTATTTGCCACAGATAGACTTAACTTAAAATTTTGGCAATAATATGTTATTTACAGTTTCGATTCAGAATTTTAGGTTTGGGTTGTTTTACTAATGGGCCTCCACTGCTTAATTTAAGTCATATGTTCTAATATAAATAATCTATTTGTGCGAAAATTGTGTCACATTTTTTAGTTATAACTTTATAAGAGAGGAATAGGCAGAATATTTCTTCCAAAATAATAGTTAATAAATAAATTTCATATCATCTATATAGGCTTGAAAACTGAAGGGTCCATATGTCCTAATGTTTTGATATCTCCAATTTTTCTTTTTGTTTTTAAGAGTACCCTTTTAAAGAAATAAATTATTACTGGAAGTGAAACTATTTTGGAAGACAGGAGTAGGAGTATGTATGTATGAAACTATTTTTTCTGACCTGGCTGACTAACTGAGTCAGCTATGGGACCCCGAAAGCCTGAAATGTTGGTTTGCTTGAAAAACAAATATTACACAAATATAGACTCAGAAAACAGCTTGTGAAACCCCAAAAATGTGATACATTATTATTAAGTCTAAACAATTACCAAGACAAAGATTTTTTTTTCAAGTACAGAGTAATAGATATGAAAAAATGTTATGTCTTTGTTGCAAGTCTTCTACATGGGCTTCCCATTTCAAATATCCACTCTTTAACCCTGTGAATGTCTTTTAACTACACAACTTCACCCTTGCTCTACATTGAGAGATATATGTGTGTATATGAGGTAAGCACACAATCATGTACCTGCCTCTATTATTCATTCTTGTGATTACAATAGGCGCATCAGTTTTATTTAGATTAAATAAACAGTTAAATGTGGTACCTTTGGTATTTAAATGTATATAATAAACAAATATATAGGTAGAGAAATAAATGATTTTATATTTACATCAGTTATTTTTGTAAGAATACAGGGATCTTTGCCATACAGCCTAGTTTATTAATAATAAAATATTATTTTAGTTTTTTTTATTTTGTACAATACACGTGTTTACAGAAAATAATATCGTTTATTGTGACGATTGTAATATTGAAACATTGAAAAATATATTTGAGGGTCGTCTATAAAAATATTCATGAACGCATTTCAAGTTCATGAGACTAGTCCTGTCAAAAGATCGCGGAGGTGGTGACGAAAAAACCGCGCTAAACAAAGATAAACAAACTTGGTTCACACACTCACCCGTTCATCGTATTGTGTGATCCTTGTTGCATAATTTTGTTCTGCACTAGACACCCAGGAGTCTCAGATTTATCAGAAACGTGGTTCGTCTCCACATCCTCCAGAATTGCGGTCCTATCAGCGTTCGTCTTATTCAACTTATCACTAGACAAACTCTTGCTCCTGTACCGTCCGTTGATCGGAGCCAAGTTCTTATCGGAAAACACACTCAAACCGTTCAATTTACCGTCGTTTTGATATTTTTCGTTAACTATATTCGATGACATCTCGCAAACAAACTATCGTACGACAGCTGTCAATCTCAGCTGCTAGGTAACTGGCGCTCGGACGTACGAACGGAACGTTTTGCCAGCCGCCGACCGCGCGAACAAAACAATGCAACTCCAACCAATTTGCGACGCCAACGAGTTCAATCAAATTAGAATGCTGTAACGAGTATTGCAAATAGTCGAGTTATACCCGCGTGACGTCCATTATATGACTGCGCATTCAAAAAAAAGTTTGGCCAACTACAATGCCGCAACGCGGATGAAGACGCCGATAGGGTATTGTCTAATGTTTAGAGTGCTAATCGTTTAAAAAGTAAGGAAGCATCACTTTTCCCTGTTAAAAAGACAGGAAGGAACTTCCGAAGTTTGATCTAATTTAATCTTTTGTTGTAGCTAAATTGATGCATTTTTCCAAATTTGTGCTAAGACGGGGACGAATCCAGGATTTTTAGCGCCACTTAATAAAAAATATTTTCTTAACATGTAATATATTCCGCCGTAAATCTTAACTAACGTAATAGCTACGTTATAATTTCCATAACTACCTACTTTATATAAATAAGAGTTGCATTTTATTACAATGCTGTAACATAGGTACATTTCTAGTACTTATTTACGAGGCTGACCAGAGTGGACAGACGACCTTAAATTTACGTGTTATGCGTTTGAATGAACTCCACGTAACTCATAAATTGACTGTTGAATTGTAATGACCAGTTAATATCGTTGGTCTTGTTATCTTGTACCTACTACGATTTCTTTAATCGTTTTTTGATGAAGATCTACAATTTTGCAACTCTTGTTAAAGCCCGAATCGTGCTATGTCAAAGTTTGACGACCTCAGTGATTGAAGAGTTTGCACTGTGGGCGTTATACATACATATAATGAGGTGCCGAGAAACGAAATATGGCAAACGAAATTTTGTCTTACTTATACTTACTTCCTTATACCTACTTTAACTGCCTCCGTGGCCGAACGGTTACCATACCGGACTGCCACGCAGAGGTCCCAGGTTCGATTCCCGGGCCGGGAGAAATATTTGTATGGCCTACAATTATTTCTCTCGTGAGTTTGGGTGTAATTTGTGGTTGTCTATGTGTGTGTCCATGGCACCCGCGACACAGGGTTTCCCTAGTGCGGGGCTATGTTGAGTGTGTGCGTTATGATTATTATTATTATGACTTCGCTGGCTCATGGACCTGAAGTAAATCTTGGCCTCCGACACTAAGATGTGCCACTCCTCTTTCGTCTGTGCCGCTTGTTGCCAATAATCTTTGTGGACTTTGTCGATCCAGCGACATCTAGGACGTCCAACCGGTCTTCTGTCAGATGGTTGCCCTAGATATGCTCTCTTGACTGCACGATCCTCACCCATCCTCTCGACGTGGCCAAGCCAGTGAAGTCGGGCTGATTTAGTCTCTTCCATGATATTATAAGCTCCTTCCCAAATCCTCAATCACCAGATTTTTCCTCATTCACCAGGTTGAGAAGATGGTTCTTCCCTAGTTGATCTCAGAATCTTTCTAAAGATTTTCCCCTCCGCCGCTGTTTTTAAAAAAAACAAAAGTGGTAAAATATTGACATATATTACTATGGTACTCGATACCTAATGCAGACAATGTCCTAGTTTGAGACTAGGTCGTTGGTGTATTGTCTGGTACATTGTAATCTAAAAACGAAAAACTACCGCAAATTATTATTTGCATATTTGTCATGGATTTCATTAAAAACTTGGAATTTCCTATGTCTTTAAGTTCTTTACTAAATTGCAAGTTTTGCGTACTCAGCGATGGCTCATCAAAAATCTACGATACGTACGTTTAGCAAACTCGAAATTTATCATTCCGAAAAACATTATAAACAAAGGAAAAATTATGAAACGTTAGTAATTTATTGAATGGAGAATCAAGAGTAAAAACATGCCAGATTTACTACATTCTCATCTGTCATCACAATTTTTTACGACTATACGGAGACTTTGTGTTGTAATTTTTTTATAGTAAGATTATACCTAGTCGTTAGCTTTAAGAGTTTATCGTAAATATTTGAGAAGAAGAACGTATCACAAGTTTTAAGTTCTGTTCATCACGACATCATCGTGCATAAAAAATAAGGATACGGAAACTCATATTATTTTCACACAGGATATTCTGTAAAAGACATGTTTTATTCTTTTTATTTATTTGCTAGCTATGGCGAGAAAAGGATTCAAGTGAAGCCTACGAAAAAGAAGAAGTCTATAATAGGGTACTAGGTGATTGTGTCCTAATATATCCAATTAATAATGGGACATATAATAATATATTGTTAGCATACAATTGGTACTTAAGATTGAAATTTAACTATACATATACAACAATATCTATGTCAATACTGTGCAAATAAAGACAACGATATATCATTTGCTCTCGTCAGTTTTATTATGCATACCAATTCCAAATGTCTAATTGATATCCAGTATTATTTTTATCTTCTGTCAGTGCATTATATGTATATATTTTTTATCTTTAATAAACTTGTAAAGGTAACAAAGTAAGTAATGTATAGGTTACAGCACGCTAAACAGTAGCAGTAGGTAGAGCTTCTGAAACAGTTCGTCCAGGAAAGTACTGCCACCTTACCTGTTTCTGCCGATAAGCAATAATGTCAGCGTTACTGTGTTCTGGTTTAGAAGGTTAAGAGCGCTGGTGAAATTACAGGCACATGTGACTTGTCAACTTATGTCTCAGGGCGACAGGCGCAGAGACGGTGCTGCTCAGATCTTTGCGATTTAAAGCCCTGAGATTAAGCTAAGCTCTTCTTCTTTTTTCTGTCCTTATCCCACGCTAGGTGGGGTCGGCACAAGATGTATTTTTTATTCCACTCTCCCCTATCAGCCGTCGGTTCCATATTCACACCTTTCTTATCCATATCATCTTTCATACAATCCATCCATCTTTTCTTTGGCCTTCATTTCCCCTTATATCCCTTGACATTCATACGTAACACTCTTCCATTGCCGTACGCCACATTTATATGGCGTACGACACTGGAATAGAATTCCCTGTATGCAGATTCGTTCCCTGAATGCTGGGAATAAATTAGGGCTTTTTCATGGCGAGAGTGAATAGATATGTTATGTTCATGTGAAGTGGAGGAACATGGCATTGTGGTCTTTTTGGTCACAACTAATCATAGTATATTCCTATCACACATGAATAATTTAGCTTTTTACATGGTAACAAATTGCTACTACTACTAGAACTATTATTAACCACGTTATTAAGAGGGAGCATGCCAAGAAAGTTTTGACGTCGGCTCCGCCCAAATTTGTGAAACAAATATATGCCTGAAGTTCGCGTGAC